GGGGGGCCCGCATCCTGTTGTACAAGTGACTCGTGAATATCTAATGCTGAAAGGCATAAACTAGTGGCTGCCTGCAGGCAGCTGAACTATCTACAGCAGGAGGGATAGGAACGGATATTGTCGTCTAGAACAAAGGAATCACAATAACATGTGGAGCAGGCACAGAGAGAATTGGGGCAGACAAAGAAACAGGCTGCTGATCCCTGGACAAGCAACGATGATGCACATGCCATCAGCGATACACAATGTAAGGAGTGGTGGTGTTGCAAACTGAAGATGAACATCTCTCTGGCAACGAAGGTAGAACAATGGGAACAATGGGAACCGGAGAGTTTGTTAGCAACTGAGACCGTGGAGGAGGTGGGTGTGGTGAGGAGGAACGTAGCCGTCCGGCGGCCAAGCACCGAGACAGATGAGATGGGGGCGGATTGGGCATGATTTTGAAATAAAGGACACGAGTGTTGGAGAGACTGTGATGTTCTTTGCACAAGAGCTGCAGCAAAGGAAGCCGTCGCAGCAAAAACTATAATTGGGGGAATTCCACCTATGGAAACCATTGTATTGAAAATTGCAGCAAAGGAAGGTGTGGTAGGAACTGCAGCAGTGGAAACTGCAGTAGTAGAAACTGCAGCAGTGGAAACCGCAGCAATAGAAATTGTGGCAGTGGAAACTGCAGCAGTAGAAACTGTGGCAGTGGAAACTGCAGTAGCAGTGGATGAGCAAGCAGGGGCACGACGAGTGCGATACGGGGGCAAAGAAGAAAGTGGATGATACAGGGACCATTGCAGCATTTGGCGGAACCAGTGAGAGAGACGTGTCACATGCGTAGGATAGCGGCATTGGTAGGAGCGCATGTAGCAGGTCCACCCCTTAGCAATGGTTAGTGGGGTATGCCCACGAGAAAGCATGCAAGGAGTAAGTGTCATTGCCGCAGTTCGAAAGTCCCGCATATTGTTACAGATCTGTCTGAACCTGGTCAATTGCCCAGTAAAGCGGAAAAATGAATTTGAGCCCTCAAACTTAGCCTCAATATATTGTCACATAACTATGAACTAAAAGAGTGCACTTTGAAAAACATACGGTAAAGATTAAAAAAAAAACAAAAAAAAAAAAACAAAGATGAGGGCCACACTGAAACTACTTATTTTTGTCATTCTTCTTTTAACTTCCTTTTCACCGTGCCTCTCACGTACAAGGCTCGCCACATTGATGAAGTTGAGCGCGAGCTGCCCGCATCCCCGTGTGCCATAACGGCCCACTTGTACGTTGTGAGAAAGAGGCAGAGTAAGGGGGAGGTCAAAAACACAAGGAAGAGAGATGAAGAGAAGAGAAACAAAGAACGAAAAAGGGAAATTCAGGATAAAAAAAGGCTAAAGTATGAGTCTGTCCTTGACGACAAAGAGGACACACATTGTAAGGATGAGGTGGATGGGCACATGGAAGACCGAGCTGAGCATTCTCAGCATAACAATTGCCACAACGGCTGGCATTAAGCATGCCGAACATACACTCCCGACAAATGGCATGTCGATTCCCCACAAAAGGCATGTCGATTGCAGGCCAAAATGAAGGAAGAACGCTGACCACAAAAGACCATGCATTCAGTACAGCGCCCATGGTCGCAAAATGAAAATATAGTGTCCGGATGCGGAGGGTGCCTGCAGTCAGGAATGGAGGGACAGCCCTCTACACACACACATGCAGAAACCATGTCATTGTAGTGATTGTGACAGAGATGATGGTGACTACAACCGAGTTGAATAGTGTCTGTAGCAGTGCAAAGGAGAAGATCAGAGTGTTGGTACATTGTCGTGCTGCAGCACGGGGCCAAAGGAATGATATTCGACATAAAAGAGATTGCGGACGGTTTGGTGTGGCAAGAAAACAGCATCATTATGTAAGAAATCAGTAACATCAGTCATGCCATGGACCATGATGCCGTTGTCCCACAACTCCCAGTGGTCAGAGGTACTTAAAATGGTCATGCAATGGCCAGGTCCGTGCACAATGCAGGCAGAGATGCGGGGTAGAGGATTAAACCACTCACCTGCTCGAGCGTTGCATAGCTCAAATTGGCGGTCCCTCATTGCTACTTGTAGGACAGCAATGGTAAAGCCTCTTTCCCTGGTATAATTACAATCCTCTGGTTGTAGGCGGGGAAGGTCAGTATCAAGCTGAAGGCCGATTGCAAGGAAGTCTGATGGTGTATAAAACGGTCAGTGGAGAATGTGAAGACAGATATTAGTTGCAGTCCGACCACAGAGATTGGTGAGGATCTCAAGCTGGTGTGTTGGATGCTGCCCAACAATTTGCAGATCACTCGGTTGGCGTTGCAATCCTAAAATGTCTTGGGTTGCTTGTCGGTCAGTCATTTGCAAACCACCCACGTGGTCTGCGCGTGGTGGGGCACTAATTTGTGGTTCATCCAAACTATGCTGTGTCAGCCATTTGCAGATCCCCCATGTGGTCTACGCCTTGTGGACCTGCAATCCAGGTAGATCATGTTCCAATCCCTCAACGTTTGGGGCTGCATCCTGAGTAGGGACTGTCGCTGGAATCAGGAGTGTACTCTGGGTAAGGACCATGTCCTGTTGTACAGGTGAGTCATGGATATCTAACACTGAAAGGCATAAAATATGGTGTCATGGCTGCCTGCAGGCAGCTGGACTGTCAACAGGAGGCATAGGTGTGGATATTTCCGTTTGGAACAAAGGAACTGCAACAACCTGTCGAGCAGGCACAAAGAGAAATGGGGCAGACAATGAAACAGGCTGCTGATCCCCGGACAAGTGATGATGACACGCATGTCGTCGATGCTACACAACAAGAGTAGTGGTGTTGCAAACAAAAGATGACATGTCCCTGGCAACGAAGGTGGAACGATGGGAACAATGGAAACCGGAGAGTCTGTTCGCAAGCGAGATCATGGGGGAGATGGGGGTGGCGAGGAGGAATGCAGCCGTCCACGGCCAAGCACAAAAAGAGATGAAAGGGGAGTGGATAGGGCAAGGTTTCGAACAAAGGACGTGAGTGTCGGAGAGACTGTCATGTTCTTTGCGCTGAAGATGTGGCAGAGGAAGTTGTAGCAGCAAAAAGGAGAGCACAGGGAATTCTAGCAGTAGAAACTGCAGCAGCGGAAGCCGCAGCAGTGGAAGCCGCAGACGTAGAGGCCGCAGCAGTGGAATCCGCAGACGTGGAGGCGGCAGCAGTGGAAACCGCAGCATTGGAAACCGCAGCGGTGGAAACTGCAGCAGCAGAAACTAATGCAGCAGTGGAAACTGCAGTAGCAGAAACTGCCGGAGTGAAAACCGAAGCTGTAGAAATTGCAGCGGTGGAAACTGCAGCAGTGGAAACCGCAGCAGTGGAAACTGCTGCAGTGGAAACCGCAGTAGTGGGAACTGCAGTAGCAGCAGATGAGCAAGCAGGAGCAGGACAAGAGCGACGTTGACGCAAAGAAGATGATTCAGATCTGATCATATCACTCCTCTTCTCTCCCTTCCTTTCCTTTACTTCCTCTTCCCTCTCCTTTCTCTTTGCTTCCGGTTTCCTTTCCTGTCTCCCTCCTTTCCTTCTCTTGTCTGGTCGTTTCTTATGAACTACTTATCCAAAGCAGTGTTGGACCCCCCGACGGTCGGCGGCCCTTGACTGGTCGGCTGCCGGCCCGCCGACCGATCGGCTGGTCGGCACCTACCGGTCGGGGGTCGGCGGCACCCCGTAAAAAAGAAATTAATAACAATAATAATTGGGGGGGGTCCGGAACCCCTAATAACACCACCAACATCCCCATAGCGGCCCCCAACACCCCCATACACCCCCCCAACACCCCCAAACCGCCCCCAACACCTTTATTACCCCCCCACCCCAATACCCCCCATATCACCCCTATACCCCCCCTATACTCCAACCCCAACCCCCCCATACTCCCCCCCCATCCCCAAAAGTTTCTCAGTGGATTTGGGCCGTACTCGGCAAGAGCAGTACAGCCCTCAACTCAGATTTGAAAAAAAATCAGTGGATGTTTGTTTTCTGACTGGTCGGCAGACCGCCGACCAGTCGGCCCTACTGGTCGGCTGCTATTCGGTCGGCGGTCGGGGTTGGCGGTCGGCAGGGTACAACCCTGATCCAAAGAGAAAAGAGGAGAAGGATGGTTAAGCAGCAAGCCTGGCTGATTCAAAATGATGAGCGCTGGATTAGAAGGAGGAGGATAAAGAAGCCGGCGAAGAAAGGATGTGAATGAAGAAGAAGATGCACAAGAAAGGATGAGGAGGGGAAGAAGGAAGAGGGAGAAATGAAGAGGAGGCAGAACAAGGTAGCGAAGGAGGATGAGATGGAAAAGGAGGTGAAAATTGGACGGCCCAGGCATGTACAGGTGGCAAACTAGGTGCATGGGGGATATGGACATGACTTGCCAATACACGACTTCCATCAGCACTAGGAGTTTGAACTTCAGAAACTTTGGACCCTGCCCACTCTTCTACTCGTACCCATCAGGCCACACCCAGCTCGGCAGGGCTTCCAGCTGGCAAAAGCAAAAGTATGAATGTGGGCCATCGATCACCAAGATCAACATGGGCCTTTTTCCCCCCTCTACTCCAACGGTGGTGGGGCTCACGGAAGCACTCATCCTGCAAACACAGGGCCTCCCCCACCCACCCTGTACTGTGTCCTGCCATCGACCCCAGTGTCCGGCTGAATCCAGACTAGTTAGTATATGGCCTGACAACCCTGATAGACTGGGAGATCCCAGATATCCAGGATCACAGCCTAGCATCAGACTAATTGCATCATTAATTGAGGAAAATAATGTTCTATATTTGTATACATAAGAACTAACGGTTTTCACCATTATGAGCCCGTTTTTCAATAATCGCTCATGCGCCAATGGGGCAAAAGGCATGAAGCGGATGGTTAATTCTTAGTATTTCTTACTCTTAATTTACCCCTAGCCACAAGTCATCTCAATTGCTGTCCAATCAGAAATTGTTAGACTTGGAACAAACCTGAATTAGGAACGATGGAAGTGTTGCATATCCCGCTGCTTCAAGCTCCAATGACGCCCTATGCTGATATCAAAGCACAACAGATACCAAAACTCACACAAATAACTTATTGAGACTTGAAAAAAAAAGGAGACAACAAATCTCAAGGAAGCTCTTCATCACACTGTACGGGATATCAGTCCTCGCCACACTTCCTCTCACACAGATGGAACGAACACCTTCTCTCCTTTCTAGGACACAAAATGTACAACACACCCCACCCCAAAAGACAAAAGAAAAGAAAAAAAAGGAAAACTGAAAACAGGAAAAAAGGTAACAAAAGCACCAAGTGCACTGTGCAACCAGATGAGTGTGATTTCCCAAATGGATCGTTCTTAGCAAGCAACAGATGAAAAGTGGGTTGCTTGACTTAGCATTTTTAGAGAAGTATCAGAGGACACAGGAGTTTTGCAGCTATGCCTGCACAGTATCAGGTTTTTTATCAACCCTTAGGTAATTACAATTACAGTACCTTACTCATCTGCCAGTGGAGTTTTAACTCGGGTCTTTTTCCAACCGTTCAGGGGTGTACCAACTGAGCTATGCCAGCATCAAGTTATTAGCTCACAGGTGTTTCGTTGCTTTAACTCGTGCCTGAACAGTAAACCCCATATACTGACTGCTTTTCAGCTTTTTTGATCTGTTTCTTGAACGTTCCTCATTTTTCATTGTACATTCCTTTTTTTTTTTTTTTTTAAACAGGTCCTTATGGTCCTGGCTCCATATCCATTCTGGGGAGCGTCAGTCCGGTTCCTATTCCCCCGGCAAGTAAAAAAAAAAAACGGATTACATCATATTACCCACTCAACGCTTCCTTCCGTCTGGCCGAAGGACCCCTGATCAGCATTGATTGCTCCTTCTAAGGAGGATTGACTATCAGCTCGCCCTGACCATTTGTTCCTCTTAGGCTTCTATTTAGAGCCTGTCGAACGAGTCCCTGTAATACGAGAACAGTGGGGGTGTCCGCTCTGTGTTCTGTTGCTTGTCCTTGTCTTTCCCTGTGTGTCCGGTCCTCTTTTTGTTGATCAGGATTCAGAGTCTTCTGCCAGTTCTTCCGGCATGTATCCTCGTGGTCTTCGTGCTTCTGTCTGGTGCCATTTCTTCCATCTCAGTCTATTGTCTACTATCGTTGCCACCTTGCCTTCTAGCAACCAGTTCCTTATGAAAGTCCGTTTCTTGGTTGCTTGTCTTTCTGGTCTGTGTCTCATAGAGTTTGCTATTCTCCGCCATCTGCTCCTGATTTCCGTCTCTGCCATGCTCAGCACTAGTGACCACATTTCTTCTCTTGCCACCTCTGTTCCCTCGATTGTCTGAGTGCATCTTCGTTTCCATATCACCCACAGTGCCATCTTCCTGAGTAGGGTGAACCATGCTTCCCTGCTGCCTGTGATGTTGCTGGGGATGTTAGTTAAAAGTAGGATAGAGATAGGGGGGATGTTTGGGGGGGGGGGGGGCAGCGAACAGGATCGACCATAGCTCGCGGATCTTCTTCCATATCCAGATTGCTTCAGGGCAAAAGAGGAGGCAGTGGGGGATGTCTTCGGGTGAGTCGTTGCTGCACATTGAGCAGTATGCTGAGCTATCAGGATCAGAATGTTTCCTTCTCTCGTGTAACCATTGGTTGACACACAGGGCTACATGTGCTGTTAGCAATTGCATACTTGGGATTCTACTTGGTCTGATGAGACGGTATTGGTCCATGTGATGGTGATGGGGGTCGTGGTATCTAGGTTCAGTATGCTTCTCCATTTCTGTGCCAGCCTTCAATTTGGGTCCCTGGTTTGTAGTCCGAGGTTATACCCGAACTTTACGTCATATTCTGTTATCCTTCTCGATTTACTGGCGGCGCCCAGATCCCAGATCCATTCCTTTGGGTCGAATTCCAACTCGTTGATGCTGAGTTCCGGCTGGAATATAAACCAGGGTGTCTTGTGAGAGACTCTAACCTTCCTGAGAAGGTATGTTTCTATTTGTTCGTTCTGTGGTGTTTTGTTTAGGATCTCTAGTTCATATAGGCCGTGTTTGATGATGGGGTAGGATACGAACTTGGCCTGGTAGTTGATTAAGTCTGGTTTTGACACAAAACAGTAGGCTTTCATTGGTGGGGTCTGTGTGATGAGCAGTCCCAGTCTCCTGGTTTCCACGTATGTGTCTCTTTTAGGAGGGTCGTCCATGGGGGGAGGATTTCGGACAGGTTGGTGGTCGGTAGATGGCAGCCTTTTAAGGGAGTGCGGAGGTCCTGTGCGGTGAGCCATTCTTGTCGGTCTTCGGATCACAGATGTTTGACCTGCCATACTCCTCTCTCCACCCATGACAGCCATCTGCAGTCTTTGGCCGGGAGAGTCCACGGTCTGCTCTCTGCGTCTTTTATCCAGGGATTGCAGAACAGGGGTTGTCGTAGGACTTCCTCTTTGTTGCTCGGGGGGGCTTTCTTTTCTGGCATCAGACTGCGCCAGGTCTTCAGGATCGGAAACCAGTAGGGGGTGGGTGTAGTGGGGGGTTGAATGGGGGTCACTGGGTTAGTTTTCCTTGTTGGTCTCCCCGATTTGATTGTCCACTCCTTTGCCATGATCCAGAATAGGCCACTCATGTTCGGTGGGGTCGCAGCTGATGCCAAATTCCTTATGCTGTCTATCGCCATCGCGGTCCAAGGGAGGGCTCGTTTGGTTAGGATTTTGATTATCCATTTGATTTGGAGGGTGATCGCTTCCTGTTTAGGGTCGATTATACCTAGCCCTCCTTGAGGTTTCCTGATGACAGTTTGCTAGGCCACCTTGTTTATGCAGCTGGTTCTGTTGGGGTCGTCAGTCCACAGATAGCACCTGGCTCTAGCCTTCAGCTTCTTCAGGTCGTCGTCAGGGGGCCATCATATGGAGGCCATGTACCACAAGGTGGAGAATACTGCTGTGCTGATAATCAGGGCTCTCCCAAGTAGGGAGGTCTGGGCTCTGTTGCAGGTGGCTAAACGGGTTATTGCTCTGGCGAGCAGTGACTCCCCCATCCCTTGCCAGATGTCGTCCCTGTTTACCATGATGCCTAAATATCGAAGTGCTTGATTGCCTGTAGTCCAAGACATTGGGGTGGATGGGTCTGGGGGTTGGGGGGAGGTGCCTTCTGCAAGCCACCACCCTTCCGGTTTCAGCCAGTTCACCTTCATTTCTGAGGCGAGTCTGAAGGCTTCCATGGCGCAGGCCAGGGCTTGGAAGGAGGAGTTGTTAGCGCGGACAAGGACCGTGAGATCGTCTGCGAACATCTGTACAGAGGGGAGAGCGAAGTCGTGGGGTGGGTTGTAGTTTTGTTTGGTGAGGTGGTCTATGGATGGGTCCTTGCGCAGGAAAGATGCGATGGCTTCCATTATGAACAGGAATATTGGGGGTGCAAGGGGGTCGCCTTGCCGGACGGATGTCGATATCGGGTAGGTTTCTGACAGTATCCTGTTTATTTGCACCCTGCCCATGGCATCCCCATAGAGTACTCTAACCCATTCCCTGAAGTTTGGCCTGACTCCCATCTTCTTCATGCAGTTGTGGAGGAAGTTCCAATTGACTTGATCGTACGCCTCTTCAAAATCGAAGAATAAGATCGCCTCTTGCATTCGTTTTTATGTGATCTTCTTTGCAGCCTCGTTTAGACATTATCCAAAATGTATCGACCCGGGATGAATCTTGCTTGGTCGATGTGAAAGCAATTCTGTTCGTTTTATGATTCTATTGGCTAATGCTTTTGCTCAGATTTTGTACGGCGTTGTGAGAAGTGATATTGGTCTGTTGTTCTTGAGGTCCTCCTTGTCTCCCTTTTTGTATATTATGACACTACGCTGGTGCTTAGAAATTGACCCAGGCCTCTCTTTTCCCTGCTGTCGTTGACAAGTTGAAGAGGTCGTTGCCCAGTGTTGGCCAAAACTGGATCCAAAATTCTTTGGACAGGCCATCAATTCATGCTGCTTCGTCGTTTCCCATCTGGGATAGGGCTGCGTGCAGTTCCCCTATGGTGATTGGTTTGTCCAAGTCTTCCGTTGTTCTTGGGTAATCATTCTGTCTAGGTAGGTCATCATGCGTTGGCGGGCGTTGATATTTGTTGTTGGAGGGGGGGAGGGGGTTTTGGACTCGTAGAGGTCGGCGTAAAAGGACCTGGCTATTCTTACCATGTCTGCGCCAACTAACTTTGTCGTCCCCTAGTCCGCTGGGTCCTTCAGCCCCTCGATTGTGTTGTTCCTTGCGTTGGCCTTGATCTTGGAGAAAAAGAATTTGGACACGGATTCATTCAGGGTGTAGTCATTCAATCGGGCGAGTCTCTGTAGGCCTCAGAGTTCCCATCTTCTCCATTCATTTAGTTCGTCCTTGGTAGATTGGAGTAGGTCGTGATAGAAGGAGTTAAAGGGATCAGATGCTAGGTCGGTTTCTGCGATGTCGAGTACGATTTGTGGTTCCTCCTTCTTGTGTTTGCGTTCTTCTGCTATGTTTTTAGACTCCGTTGAGAGCATCTGAGACAGGTCCATATAGCTGTCTATGAACCATTGGTGTCGTTCCTGGCGTTTCTTCTCGTCTTGCTGTATGAACCACCAGTTCCATCTGACTGCCTCGGTCATACGTTTAATGGAGAGGAGTGAGTTGTCGAGTCTAAAGAAGCCTAGTCCTTTTTCTACCGGAGAGTTGAAGTTAAGGAGCAAGTAGGTCGGTTTGTGGCCAAGCCCCTTAAAGGCTGCTGCTGGTAGGATACCGGCCTCCTTGATTACTCCATATAACATGTCTGAAACTAGGAAGAAATCATTTCATGATAGTGATGTGTGGTTGGATCGGTTCCTCTTGACTAGGGAGAAGGCTTTCTTGCGTGGGTGGAGGATTCGGAATAGGTCGACCAGGTCGAACTCTGCCATGTTGTTCCGTATGTGTGTGCTCGCTCGTGTGGGCCCCAACAACACTGCCCGAGAAATGCGATCTAGGCTGGGGTCCATCGTAGTGTTCCCGTCCCCTGCTATAATTAGCGGCATCGAGGTCGAGAAAAGTGATTTGATGTGGTCAAAG